TACACTTAAGGTCATCCTCGAATATCTTTCATTCCTGCGGAGGGACAACGATGAACTTTGCCAGCAAGTCTTCTGGGCGGAGAATTCTTTTCTGAAATGTTGCAACTGCTCATGTTTGATGCACGCGCTGACAGAAGCTGCGGAGATCTGCCTGCACAGGAGCATCGAAGGGAATGAATGCATCCCTGAAAGACACTTACAACAGCTCCAGTCCGAGATCCTCAGCGAGTTGTGTGAGCTGTGCAAGCTGCTGCCCCTGGGAGCTGAAGGCCACAGGCTAACAGGAGACGACGTGGCCGTGCTCGAGAGTTTGGCGGCGCTCTACATGAAGACGTCTTGCATTACTTTCTCTGAGGTGTCTGGTATGGAGCAGGATGTACATGTGTCGGGTTCTCGTGGAGTGGACTACGGAAGGAATCTCTTGATGACAGGGTACAGGTTGCACACGTCTACCTGCTCTTGTTCCTTAGCGAATGTGTTGACGATGTTGATATGTGGGGCTGATGCTGATCTGTCGCCGGATGTTCGAGGAAGCGAGGGTGAATCAATCTTTCATGATCTTGTGGAGATTCTCCACTCGAGCAGGTTTGAGGAGATGAGCAGTCAGTACAACTCGAGCGGGAGGGAGGGATTCTTTCTCGCTGAGACGTTGAAATGGTCCCCTACCTTGCTTCTCCAGCACTTGGGTCTACTCGCGTCATTCCGACTCGCAAGATCGAACTCAGCAGAAGCTTTCAATCATGCGCTAGCGTCCTGCCTCAACGGCTCCCTGCATCACCTCGCTCTTATCCTCGACCTCCCTGCTCTGTCTCGATGGCCCGACGTGAAGGACGAGCTGGGCAAGCACAACGCGAATGTACTTGAACTTGTTGTGTTGGCCTTGTGTTGACGTCTGATTCATTGCAGATTGTTTCATTCGCGATTGATGTACTTGAACATCATGCCGTCACTTCGATAACTCGCGATGATAATGTCAACGGGTCGGGATACAAGAACTTCGACCATGAACTTGCTGTTTGGAGTTCTTCAGTGGAATCATGTCTTTCTTGCATCAGATCTCTTGCTGCAGATCCTCAAGTTGCATTTCATCTCGCCGCCAACGATCACATTGGCAAGCTTCTCGCGATGGTACAGAGGGCGTTGAAGTTGACAGAGAGCGACTTGTCGGGAGAGGCACCTTACAATCATCGCGACCACAAGATGCTGTTCCCTTCTCTCCGCCTAGCCAGCAGTTTCTTCCACTTGTTCTCCACTGTGTTGGAGTCTATCGATTCCGTAGCAGCGGACGAGGACTCTGCCTCTCTCTGCTTCCAACGTCTCCTCTCTCGGCTCAACCAGGTGACTGCCGTTGTAGCCCTTGCGATGGCTGTTGCTCAGCAGTCTGACTCTTGTGGCAGGCGATTCGATTGTTCAGAGGAAGCCCGCCTCTTGCCTTCAGCTTCCTTCAAGATTATTGTAGACTGTCCGCCTCCTACATGTCATTTCCATCCTCACAGGCAGAAACGGTCGAGCACAAGAAGTACTATCACTCCCAGCTCAAAAGCCAGCTCTTGGAGAATTCCGATCTCCACACGTCAGGAAGTTGTTTTCATGCGCTCTTTCAGAGCCACTTCGCGGTCCTGACAGTGGAGAAGAAAGAGCTGCTACAGCAGCAGCTCTCACTGTACGAGAGCGCGCTGATCGACTACTTTTCCTCCCTCCTTCAGCTCATCCGGACCTGCTGCCCTCGTTTGACACCTGACAGGCTCAAGTCATTGAATTCAGACCTCCACATGTACTCGAGTGAGATGCTGCTGCCGCACCTTGACTTCCTGCTGTCCACGTGGACCGAGCCAGTCTCTTCGAAGATCAAGACTCAAGTCGTGCTCCTCATGAAGGAACTCGTGCTGCCTCTCAGGGGAGACGCGAGTGAGCTCGCATCCTTTGTCCGCAAGTTGTTTCGGCTGATGTATGCTCCCGTGGTCGACCTCGATCACGGTGCCATGGGAGGCAAACCTGCTGATGTCACCAGCAGTATGTTCAACATGTTCTATGTGGAGTTCCTGGTGATGGACAGGGCCAGCAGGAAGTATGGGCACACCATCGCCATGCTTCAGCTCGTCTCTTCTCTCCTCCCTTCCTTTCCTGCTGAGGTCTCCCGGCGGTTCCTTGCCGACTGCTACCCGATCATGCAGCTTGCAACCGAGTCTCAATCAGCAGAGAACTTCTTGGATCCCAAGGAGAAGTGGCAAATTCTCAACGAGCTGATGAGGATGGGAAGTCTCTGTCTCCTCCCGCACGTCATGCGCGATGACCTGAACCACTTGGAGCATCTGACGCGGACGATGCTGGATCGATCTGTGTTTGCTAGCTCTGCCAAGAGGTTTGCGACAGGCTCATCGGCTGATCCTCGCCTCGACGTCAGGAAGTTGATACACTGGATGATACACCCCAACATGTCAGAAGAGACAGCGGCAGGCACGGGCGAGCTGAAGGGCCTGGTGGAGGTGGCAGTGGAGCTCGTAGGCAGAGGGCTTGAGCATGCGCAGCGGCAGGAGGAGACGATCGCTCTCCCCGAGCTCTCTCACGCCCTTCAGAGCTGTACAGAGCTCTTGATTGTCTCCTTCCAGCTCTGCGCTGACCAGTGCGGGCCCGAGGAGGCTGACACGGTGTTGGACCACGTGTGTTGGTCGTGGACGGGCACCAACGAGAAGCTCAGCCGCAGGAAAGTCCCGTCGACCCTCCTCGAGTATGCCGTCTTGGAGGACGAGCCCGAGCTTGCGGCACTTGCCCTGGAGCTGCTGCTGGTCATCATCACCTCGTCCAAGAACCCTGTGACCCGCGACGTCGTGCTGGCTGAGATCTTCTTGCTCGACACTGAGCTGGCGGAGCAGGCTCGGATCAGTCATGGCCTGTGCTGTTGGTTCGAGCGAGCGCAAGCCTCGTCCGACGAGCTCTCAGTCGCGATATGCTCGAGGATCCTCCGACTCCTCCTTGCAAGTCTGCGGACACTCGAGGACAGGGAAGAAGAGTCTCCCTCCCTCGCCCTTGCGCTGCTCCAGTGCGCCAACAGCTCAGGCAGTCTCTTCACCACGATCACGCGACGCTCTTCTCTTCAGTGGCCGAGTGCAGACGAGATGGCAGGGGAGGAGGCGCTACTGATGCAGGTGGACAGCCTGCGGAGGGTGAAGAAGTGCTCGGAGCTGGCGGCGATGACGTCAGAGCTGATGTACCACCTGGTCCGATCGCCATGGGTTGTGGAGATTCTGAGAGGATCCTTGGAGGAGGAGATGTCTCTGCTGCTCGAGCACTTGGCGTCTGACTTCCCCTACTTCGAGCTCATCAAAAGCATCCGTGACCGCGTCTCCTTCCTCCGATCCGGGAACTGGCTCCTGGAGAACGGCTTCGCGGAGCCGCAGGTTCAGGACTTTGATGGGGGGATGCTGACATGGGGGGAGGAGGAAGCGTTTACTAGGTGGCTGTCGAGGTACCCGAGAGGTGCGACAACTTGTTTGACACGTGATGGAGCGGGCCGGGGAAACTTTTGACGTTTTTGTTTTCTCTTGGATGCAGATGAGAGTTTGGTGCAGCTGTTGGTGGCAGGAAGGAGGAGAATCCAAGAGTTGGAAGGAGTACTAGGGGACCTCGTCAATTGTCAAATCCATTTCTGTCACAAGGTGAAAGCAATCAAATATCTCCTTTTGATTTCAAATCCTCTGAATCTTTTTGTAATACCAACTTATCTCCTGGTTGCAGACTGGATGGATGCTGCGATGTCTGGCCGACTGCATCTCACACAAGCATGTGCGTCAAGTGACTTGAGTCAGCCGATTCGTCTGACATGCGAGGCAGATCAATCTCCACGACGACAAGTTCTACTTGATGTTGTCTTCTTTCATCGGATCGAAAGCAAGGGCCAGCAGTCCTGACAAGTTTCACTTCAACTGGCGAAGTGGCTCCTTGCATCACCTGCTCGACAACCTGACGAAGCTGCATGGAGTGGAGGAGGAGGTAGACACGCAGTCGTTGGACCTTCATCCTCTGCTTGCAGCGTCGGAGGCGAAGGATTGCCTCGTGCCCTGCGACTCGTGGACGTCTGACATGACTTTTTTCTCTTCAAATGCCGTCAAACTTCGACTCTCTTGGAAGCTCGCCAATATGGGCAGGAGGTCGCAGGGAGAGCAGGAGGCTCTTAACGTGGAAGCGTTTGTCCAGCACAAGCTCTGCTCGCCTCTCAATGGCTTGAACGTCTTGATGAGGTGCCAGAGCGCTCGCCAGCACTTCCTCTGCTCCCTCCGTGACTTCAGCCGAACCCTCGCCGACCATGTCGAGGTCCTGCATGACGCCGGTTACTGTCCTGAGCTCGCCATGGCTGCAGTGGAAGAGAAATTCTCCTTCTTCTTCCACCTCCTCTCTCGCCACGTCATCCCCGCGTTTCCCGCCCGGCTGAGCGCGAGCAACGTGGAGGTTACGGTGCACCTGAGCTTCCTGCTGGAGCATGGAGTCTCTTTCTTGGTAGCGCAGCGGAGTCAGCGGGTTGAGTCGGCGGAGCAGGAGGGGATGAGCGAGACGGTCGGGAGGTGGCGGCAGAAGCTGATGCTGCTGCTTGACTCTGTCCTCGGCCTCCTCCTCTTCACGAGAGGCTCGTCAGACGGAGGCATGGAGGAAGGCGGTTCCGTCGGGAGTCGCATGATCCGCCATCGGCTCTACTCAGCTTGCCTCCAGCTGCTCGCCCACCTGAAACTGGACCTGTTCGAGGCCATCGGAAGCCGCGAGCAACGAGACGGCCTCATCCGGCGAAACCTCCAGGCTCGCAGCGGCAACAGCAGCACGAGTTTCCTCCTCTTCCGCCCGCGGGAGGTGGAGGCTTTGCTGGACTCTCGCCGCCAGCCTCTTCTCGACCTCACCCTCCGTGACTTCATCAACTTCGACGAGCAGCCGAGGAGCTGGGACCCGAGCTGGGAGTGCAGGACCCTCGCCCTCCGCCTCCTCCTTCACCTGCTCCCCAGCGGCAACACTGCGCTGCACTCGAGATTCGCGCCCAGCAAGGGCTCTCTGCTCCCCGACCTTTCGAGCTTCTTGCAGCGTTCGCACCTCATCCGCCACTGCCTGGACGACCTGGAGGGGAGGACGTCGTTGCCCTCCCTGCTCGACCCCAGCAGCCACGAGAAGTTTGCGGGGCACCTCAACGTGTTCACGGCGAAGGTCCAGCTGTTGAAGCAGCTGTCAAGCTCTGAGGCAGGGCTGGTAAGTCGAGCTGTCATGTCGTGAATGGTCTGACGCGAAGGGTCGCAGAGGGAGTTGACAAGGAACGGCATCCTGCACAAGCTGGGCCTCTGCTCGTTCCTGTCCTCGAGAATCTTCAGCAGAGAGCAGGCCAGCGCGTTGCTCTTTCCTCCCTCCGGTCAAACCTCTCGGGTGTCGAAGAACCTCCTCGCCCTCTCCTTCCTCTCCTTCTCCCTCGTTGCCTCCCTCCTCCGCATCCCTGCCAGTTCCATGCCAGAGCTGCTTGCTGGACGAGCGACACAGAGTGAGAGGATGGAGGAGGAGGAGGAGGAGGAGGAGGAGACAGCACCCGCAAAGATGGAAGAGAGTATCCTCAAGTTCATCTGGAACCATCGGGCACTGATGCAGGCCATCTGCTCTCCTCCTCATGAGCGAGCGAGCTGGCAGCAGGTGAGGGAGCGAGGGAGAGGAGGAGGGAAGGGGAAGATGAGTAGAGGAGTAGGGGGCAGGGGGCATGAAAGGAGAGGAGGAGGAAGGGATAGGATGTACAGAGGACAAGGAAGACGAGGGAGGCAGGAAGGCTGACTGAGGACTTTGAGCAGGCGCTGGTGCCCTTGAACGGATCAACGATGAAGAGGATGAAGGTGGAGGCCACTGAGCGACATCGTTGCGTCCTCGCCGACCTCTTCCTCTCTGCCAACCGTCTCCGCGTCCTCGAGTCAGACGCCCCCAACCCCGGACCTCTCGGGGCCCAGGTGAAGGAGGAGGTGAAGCAGTACGTGATCGCCATGCTCGACCACTTGCTGGAGGAGAAGACGATACGCACATTGCCGTGGGCTGGAGGAGAGGAGGAGGACGAGGAGGAAGAGAAGGAGGAAGTGTGGGCGGTAGAGGACGTCGATTTGCTTCCTCCCCAAGCTGTGAAGGATCTCAAGCTTGAGACGCTGCGGCGCTGCCTCTCTTTCCTCTTGCAGCGTGTTGGTCCCCAGGGAGGAGGAGGGGAGCTGATGGTGGATAGTTCGGAGGAGCACACAAGCTCCCGATGCTTCTTGCCTGCAGTCAGGCTCGTGGATTTCCTTGGGCTCTGTGTGGACTATCTTTGCGGGAAGGAGGAGGGGAGGGGAGGGCAGGAGGAGGATGGGGAGGGCGGGAACGGAGCATGGGGGGAGCTGTGCAGGAGATGGCAGCGCTTGTTGGATCGCAAAGTTTCAGCGTCCAGGGACGGAAACCTTCGCTTGCAGGATAGAGATTTCAGCTACTTCCGCGGTAATGTCCTCCTCTCCTCTCCCATCTCTCCTTGTTTCTCCTCCCCCCCCTCCCCCTTCTCGCGCTCCCCTGTCTTCACTGCTTTCTCCCTTTGACTGCTGGACCAGAGCATGTAGAGAAGGTTTGCAAGGTCACAGAAGACGCGCTGGAGCTGATGGTGAGGAGCTTTCACCTGGAGGTGGGCGGGGAGGAGCAGAGGTCGAGCAGGAGAAACTCTCTTGTCCTCGCCTCCAGGATTTGGAACCCAGACGGCAAGGGATACGCACAACGATTCTTGAAGGTTCGTTGCTTCCTCTTCACCTCCTCCTCCTCCTCCTCCTCCTCCTCCTCCTCCTCCCTCGCTTGACGTCTCGCGTCAGTTCTGCCAGCAGCGGCACCAGGAGCAGAGCATGCAGTGCAACTGGCCGCGCGTCCAGGAGGCGAATGAGAGGCTGCGAGACCTGCAGGAGGGAAGAGAGAGGAGATGATACAGGAGGAGCTGGGGAGGAGCTGGAGCTAGCCATGGATTTTCTTTCTTCCGCTTTAAGTTGTCTCTTCCTCTTCATCGCTTTTCCTTGTCATCAGACTGACCGTAGAGATCCTAACGAGAACAGATGAGAGAGGGAGATGTGCGGGAACGGAAAAGGGCAGGGGAAGGAGGAGGAGGAGGAGGAGGAGGAGGAGGAGAACGAGGAGGAGAACGAGGAGATTTGGTTACCCGGCATCGCTGCTCAAAGGCTCCAATCATCCTAGTCGTGACTTCCTCCTGGAATGTCGTCGCCACCTCCTCACGTCTTAGAGACCAACAAACTCAAATGCTGCTGCTGCTGCTGCTGCTGCTGCTGCTGCTGCTCCTTTCCTTCACTTCTCTTCTCTTTTACCTGATTGTAGAGCTCGTTGCGAAAACGAAAATCTACTTGAAATTCCAACCTGAAATTCCAACAGTCAGCTTGAAAACTGTCGGAGGCGATGAGCTCAAGAAGATGTGAAGTAGGAGAAGACACGCGAGTGAGGGGGGGGAGAGAGGAAGGGGAGGAGAACGAGGAGGAG